GGCCGAAGTCGGGTGCCCACTCGGCCTGCTTGAGCTGTGGGGAGACTCGGGCTAGGCTGCAGTGTCCCCCGCAGGAGGGACGCCCCGCCCAGGTCAGGAGAGGAGGAGGGCACCCACCCTTCCCGGGTCTAGCCCTCCCCCGCCCACCCTGGTGAGGAGGCACGCACCTTCTCAGGGAGGGCCTCATACTCCCCAGCCCGGATGGCCGGCAGGGTCCGGCGACTGGCTGTCCGCGCCGCCTCCCCGTACAGGTACACTGCAAGGGGGCCTGGCCAGTCAGGGTCCCAGCCGGCGGGCTGCCCAGAACCTCCACTCCCGGAGGAAAGACGAGGCAGGCCGCTCCTGCCAGCCCCAGCCTGGGGGGCCACCCTCCCCCCCCCCTCGGGCCCCATCTCTCTGCGCCTCATGGGACGGGGGTGGGTGGTCACGGCTGGACACGCCTCTGCCCACCCAGGGGCAGGGCAGGCCCCCCCACTGCTCCTCTGCCCAGATGTCCCCAAAAAAGAGATCACCGAGATTTTAAGAGAGAAGTAGATGTTTGGGATGGAAGCACGTTATTCTTTCTTTCTAAAGAGTATTTTCATTGTACGATAAATAGGACCACAAATTAAGAAACACAGAGAAAAGAAAACAAAACTCACCACAAACTCCCAGTGTCCCCCCAACAACGGTGACAGCATTGTAACCGCAGGGGTGGGGTTTGGGCCCTGCCCTCACGCAGCCTGTCTGCCCGAGCCCGGGCCCCGCGAATGTAGACCCTGCATTGCGCACGCACCTTGTCCCCCGCTTGCCTCCGTTTGTCTCAGGTTAATAATTTCCTGATTCAGTTAATTCCCCGAAGGTAGCTCAGTCCACTAGGAAGCAGGGACCCCGCTTCGCGGGGCAGCTGGGCCTCCGCGGCCGGGAGCACCGCACACCAGACCCGCCCTTTGCAGAGAACCCGCGGGTACCGCCGGCGGTGACAGGGAGCCCCTGCCATGGCGGGGCTCCCTTTCGGGCTCTCACCTGGCACACCCAGCTCCTCCGCCAACCGCTGGCCAAAGGCCTGGGCACAGAGCACACAGTCGTCCATGCTGACGCCCCTCACAGGGACGAAGGGGCACACGTCCAGGGCGCCCATCCGAGGGTGCTCCCCTGCACAGAATGGGGGCTGAGGAAGGGTGGCCGGGGGCTGGGGGGCCCGGGCATGGGCTTGGGGGGCTCGTGGACCCCGGCCTCCCTGCCCCCAACCTGCCATCCACCCCCACAGCTGGCTGGTCCCGCTGACCCCAGGGCCCTGGGACAAGCAGCTGCCAAGCACTTCGGCCTCGGTGGAAACCCCGTCTCCACTCAGAGCCACGCAGCCCTGGTCAGCGCGGCCAGGCTGAGAGGCCGGTGTGACCGCCTCCCGCCGCCCCAGCCTCCCTCCCCCGCAGCCTCCGGAGCGTCCTCCTCACACCCTGACCCTCCACCACCCCTGTGAGCTCTGGCTCGGACATGGACTTTCTGACCCTTGGTGACTCCCTCCACAGGGGCCTGACCTCCCCCGCCCCAGCGGCCAGAGCCCCTGCCCTTTGGCCTGTCCGCCGACCTTTGACCCCGCCTGCTGCAGCAGAAGTGTTTGGTACTGTGGCTGCTGACAGGCCGGTCTCTTGAGTCTTGCTCCCTGACCCCCGGCCCCCCAGGCCTGTGCAGTATGGCTGGGCCTCACTGCCAGTCGCTCCTGGGCACCCCGAAACACGGAGGGGGGCTCCACAGACCTTAGCCTGGCCCCATGGCTCTGTGGGCTGCACCTGACCGGCAGGGTCTCCGGGGTTCTCCCAGGGCAAGCTCACCGGCCGGGCTGGCCCCACACCCCGTGGGGAGGACCCCTCACCTTTGTGCTGGCTCATGTCAATGAGCCGGAAGGCAGCCCGGGCGGCATTGAGGGCCCCCTCCACCACGTCCTCGGGCGCCCCCACGAACGTGTAGACAGTGCGGTTGGTGGAGGGGCCGGCGTCCACGTCCAGCAGCACGCAGCCCGGGGTCTGCACCACGGCGCGGGAGATGGTGTCAATCACCTGGGGATGAACGCCCGACCCGGTGCCTCAGTTTCCCCACTTGGAAGAAGGAGCAGGAGCTTCAGGGGTGGCCGTGCCTCTCCTGCCGCCCCCAACCTCCGCCCAGACGTGGGCCTAAGGAGCTGGTGCTGAGCATCTGGGAAATCCTCCAAGAGCACAAGCCCAGGGAGGCCCAGCACTGAGCTGTGCTCAAGAAAAGGGAAGGAGGGGCACTGTCCGGGAGAAACTGAGGCAGGGATCGGAAGCTAGGCGGAGGGGCTGCTGGTGCTCCAAGAAGGCGACCTGTAGGCCACGGTCACAGAGGGTCAGCGCCCTGGCCCCCCAAGCGGGCCCCAGGGGAAGCAGCTGCACTAGGGGAGAGGCCCCAAAGGCCCAGAACCTTCTGAGGTGGCCGGACAGCCCGGCGGTCGGGAGCAGGGGCTCCATGGCCCTCAGTGGCCTGCACCAACTCCATAGGCCTCAGCATCCTCCTAGAAAACGGGGATAGCAGAGCCTGCACTCACCTCCTGCCTGTTCCCCTCCGAGAAGTTGGGGACACATTCCACTAGCTGGGACATGGTCTGGGCCTGGATCCTGGAGCTCCTCTCACAGGGCGGATGCAGGGGAGGACGGACACTGCGCTCCGGCGCCTTTATCCACCCTCAGGGCCCTCCCACCGGCTGGGCTGCTGATTAACCACCAGTCACGGCAAGGAGGGACCGGCCGCAGTCCCTGTGCAAACACGAGCAGAATGGGGAGGGCGCCGGACCCCTGTGAACCAGACCATGGAGGCGGAGGGATCCTCCCACCCGGCCGGGCCGGCTCCCCTGAAAGCAGCTCAGATCATCAGGACCCTCGGTGGGAGGGGGTCGGGGGACATCCTGCTGGGGTGGAACTCAGGTCAGCCCAGGCTCCAATCCCAGCTTGACTCAGGGCCTCCTGGTGGTTTTTCCTATGACCCCCCAAGTGACCCTGAAGTGACCCTCCATGTCACCCTCCAGTGACCCTCCATGTGCCCCTCCAGTGACCTTCTAAGTGACCCGCTGAATCTCTTCATGTCAGCTTGTGAGCTAGAGGTGGCAGGAAGATGAGAGCAGTCAGGTGTGAGGCCCCCCAGTGGACGTGGCTCTCAGCAGAGGTCAGCTCGGCTCAGTCAGGCAAGAGAGTGGGGGAGAGGTCGAATCTGTGCTGGCCCTGCAGGGTGAGTGGTCTCCCAGCCGCTGGCCACTCTTCCCCGAGGACACAGGTCCTCCCAAAGGGCTGGTGTGCCCAAGCCAGCAGCCCAGGGCCCTGCACCCAGAAAGCCCAGCTGGGTCAACACTGTCTTGAATGGGGTGGGTATTCCCGGTCCGCAAAGCTTCCTAACACATGGCTGCCCCAGCAGGGTATGGACGCCTCAGACCCAAGTTCAGCTCTGTCCCGCCTCTCGGGCACTCATTACCCTGCAGCACCCTCTGGGAGGCAGATCATTTCCCCATCTGTCATCCTCCCCGTACAGGCACCCAAACAGCCGTGGCCGGGCAGGGCGGCCACACGGCGCAGGGGACCCCCAGCTCTGTGAGCCTTGGGACCCCACTCCTCCGGCAGCCACCACTGCAGCAACCAGATAAGCCCAGAGACCCTCAAAGGCTGGGGGCAGCCGGGTCCTCTCTCGCTGGCTCCCCTGGGAGAACACAGGACAGCTCTTCCACTTCTAGGTCCCACAAAGGGGTGGGGAGCCTCGGCAGGACCTGGCGGACAGCAAAGGCCCCACAAAAGTGTTCTTCCAAACCCGGGTTGCAACACCGAGGCTCACCACAGAGAGCCTGCCTCCCAGCGGTGCCCAGAAGCGCCCATTGTCCTTTCTCCAACAGACAGTCCTGGTGCCAAAGTTACGCACTCCCCACAGGCCGCCAGCCTGGCAGAGTCCCCTAGCTGGGGGTTGGTATCCGGTGGCCGAAGGGGAAAATGGTGTCGGTTATGGACTGAGTGGTGCCCAACCCCACAATCATACGTTGAAGGCCTGACCCCCAGCACCTCAGAATGCAGCTATATTTGGAGACAGGGTCTTTAAAAAGGTAATAAAGTTAAAATTATGTCTGTCATAGGGTGACCTTAATCTCCTCTGACTAGTGTCCTCATAATGAAAGGAAATCAGGACACAGGCTCAGGGACAAGCATGTGAGGACACAGGGAAAAGACAGCATCCACACGCCCAGGAGACGGTCTCAGGAGGAACCGGCCGAGGGAACGCCTCGACCTGGGACATCCAGTATCCACCGTGTCACCTGAGCCACGCTGCTCCGGCTGCCTAAGCTGACGAGAGCATATCCTAAGGTGCTGGGACCTCTGGGACACACGAGGCGGTGAGGACCGAGGGACAGGTTGCCCCAGCTGGAGTCGGTCCAGACACCCCAATACTTTCATCTTCACATACACAGCAGAGAAGCGACCAGAGACCCTCCGATCATAGCCAAGGCCCAGGAGGGGGCCAACGCCAGGCCCTCGGCCTGACTGTGGGTCCAGGAGGTCACCAGTCGTTCTCAAGACCTCAGGAAAGGTCTTGAGGTCACCACTGATGACTCCAGTGGTGGGGCGGGGGCGGGGGGGCGCATCAGACCATCTCCCAAATAAACAGACTCCCTTCGGGCAGGAGGAGACAGCAACCTCCCCTAGGAGGTCCGAGGGCTTGAGGGTCTGGGAGCCCAGCCTGAGCCACAACCCCTCCCCTCAAGGCTCTGGCTAGGCTTCCTTCCACCAATACCCGCTGTCACCTCCCGCGGTGCTCTCCCTGCCTTCAAAGAGCCAAAGGGAAAGGTACACAGGTAAACAGATTATTTTAATAAAGTGCGACAGTGCCGCGCGGGTGTGGGCGGCGGGCAGGCTGGGCGCCTGGGGTGCGCGGCCCCAGGACCGATAGAGGTGCCTGCCACGGCGCCTGCGGCCCTGGGCGCTCCGTCGGCGGATGCGGCCCTTCCCCCGGGCGGAGGGGACACGCAGGAGGCACGCGGCCCCCGGGTTTGGAACAAACACGTTTATTGCAGGAAAGGCGTGGCGGGCGCCGGGGCGGGCTCACCAGGCGAAGAGCGGCTTGTGGTCCTCCTTGGAGAGCTCACACAGGCAGGTCAGCAGCAGCAGCGAGTCGCCCAGGAACTTAGGGGGCACCACATCGATGACCAGCTTGCGCAGCGCGGCCGGGCTGCTGTGCAGCGGGTTGGCGCGCAGGTCGGGCCGCTGCTTGAGGATGCCGTAGGTGTTGATGAGGAACTCGCTGAACACCGGGTGCACGTCGCGGTTGTAGCCCAGCCTCTCCAGGCGCGCCGTGAGCATCAGGTAGCGGTGCGTCAGCTCGCGCAGCTTCTTCTCATCCACCGACCCGTCCAGGGACTTGATGGACGTCTGCGGGCGCAGTGACCGGGCTTCCTGTGTGGGGCTGCGGGCACCGGGACGCGCCCCCAGAGCCCAGCCCCCAGCCCAGTGGGGCGCCCCCGGGCAGACGGGGTCGGAGTCGGGAGGAGCGGAGCTTCCCCGCTAGCGCCGCGGGGGCCTCTGCTGGGACTGTCCTGGGCCACCCAGCAGCTGCGGGCTCCTCACGCCCTGTCCCACGGGGACCTCCACAGCCCTCAGCTGCCCTCAGGCCCTCAGCTGCACGGGCACCACGGTGATGAGGCATCCAGGGGACCCTTCCCCCAGAGCAGCTAGGATGGGGGACCCTGCAGCAAGGGAGGGGACCTGGCAGTGGGAGGACCCAGGGCAGGGAGGGGACAAGAGCAGGGAGGGGACCCTGGGATAGGAGGGCAACTTGCAGCAGGGAGGGACCCTGGGGTAGTGAGGGGCCCCCACAGCAGGTCAGGGGATCTGGGCAGGGAGGGGACCCCAGGGCATAGAGGCCCACCTGCTTGATCTTCTCAGGGATGTTGGACACGGTGAAACCGTACAGCCGGGTCACCCCTGGGAAGACGTAGGCCAAGATGCGCCGGTCCAGCTGGAAGGCGATCTCCCCGACTATGCGCCCGTCCTTCTCAGCGCTGGAGAAGCTCTGGATCTCTGTGAGGAGTGGGGCTGGTGAGACAGGCCAAGGGTGCCAGGACACGGACCGTCAGGGGCCACCCTCCTTCCTCCTGCTGACACCCGGGCGTCCATTTTAGCAAAAGGACCAACCTAAGCGCAGCCCGTGCAGGTTTGGGGTGAAACCGCTGTGCCCCTCCTTTGCTGCTACCCTACGCCCAACAGTGAGGATTATTACAAATGGAGAAGAAAACTTTGACTCTCCTGTTGCCAAAAGGGAGAGGGACCTGTCCTCTTCTCTTAGAGCAACCTGAGTGACCTGTGATCCTACGTCCTCTCTCTCTGCCCCTCTGATGGACGGAAGTGTCCTTAAAAGCTTGTTCCTACAGCCCACGATTGTCTTGTGCCCCCAACCCCCAACCCAGCACCAGCGGAGGCTGCCCAGGCACCTGGGTCAAAGGGGACCCCTGCTTATCACAGAGGTCCCACCCCCATGCCCAGATGCACTCAGTGGCCCAGACGTGTCCCCTCTCTTCCTGAGGACAGGTTCCCATTAGCTTGGGAATGCGCAGAGCCCAGCTCTCGGGCCCAGGCAGGTTAGGGAGTCCGGCATCACAGGCGGGCTTCGGGTGTGCTCAGTAACACGGGTCCTCCCTGCATGTGTGGAGCGGGTGCCGGGCTGGCGGGGGCCCGTTTTTCAACCAGTCTCCCTGACCACCAGCCTCCCACCCGCACCTGCTTCCCAGCCTGGCCCCGCACAGCGGCCTCTGCGCCCTGAGCCGTGGGCCGCGCCAGCACCCTTCCGAGCGTGTGCTCCCGCAAACACCCGGTCGGGGGGTGCGACAGCGAGACACCGGTGTGAGCCCAGCCTGCACGCCGGAGCCCCTCCACCGACGGCACCCCGGCCTCCCGCGGCCTCCGCTGTCCTTTCACCCCACGAGCGACAACAACACACCCGTTTGCAGAGCCTTTCAAGCCCCTGGGCTTTTCCAAAACCAAGCACGAGGCCGACACTCCAGGGCGCAGACCGGGAGCCGCCGGCGGGGTCCAGCCGGGGGGCAGTCCGTGCGTGCACAGACCAGGTGACCCACAGAGGCTAGAGCCCAACACTCAGGATGCCCCACGCAGCCCCAGAGAGGCGCCCGCACAGCCGTCTGTGCCGTGAACGCTGCGGGGCGGGGACCGACTGTGCCTGCCGCCATGGCAGCTGCTGCCCTCCTTGGCCTCATCCTGGGCCGGGGGCCACCTAAGCGCCGGCGCTAGCAGGCTGCCCGGCCTGTCGCACCCCAGGAGCAAGGTGGCCCCACCCAGCACCTACCTACCAGCCCGCAGCCCCGGCTTCTCAGCTCCTCCCAGGGGAGGCGGCTGACCCAGGGCCGCTGGATGGCCAGGGAGGATGGGGGAGGGGAGCAGGCTGAGGAGTGGGAGGGGCCCCAAGGGTGTGGATGCCCTGGGCGAGGACCCACCTGAGCTGAATGGCCCACAGCCATGTGGGGTGGCAGGGGTGAGGGTGGGGGGTGCTGAGGATGAAGGGTCCCCGGGTGGGGGGGAAGCCGGCGACAAGCTGAGGCCGAGAGGGCTCCTGAGGGCCGAGGAAAAAGGCTGGTGTGACATGCTGGGGACAGGGGCCACAGACTGTAGCCGCAGGACGGGCCGTGGCTCCCGACACAGCCTGGCACCTCCCCGAATATCGTTTCTGAGAGACAGTTCACACAGCACAAAATGCCCTCTTCAAGTGCGTGATTCAGACGTCCTGCACCCACAGCGTCGCACAGTGGCCACCGCAACCCAATGCGGAAACAAAACCGGCACCCCCCCGCCGTCACACAACACCCCTCAAGCCCGAGAACACCAGTGCACTTCCAGTCCCTGGGGATGCGTCTGTGCCGGACACCCCACCTGTGTTGTCACACAGCATGTGGCCCCGAGTCTGGTGCCCACGCAGCTGTCCCCGAGCTCCGTCCACACGACAGCCAGAACAGCACTGCATTCCCATCTACGCTGAGGAACGCCGCGTCATGTGGCCGGACCCCATTCCGGTTATGCGTCTGTCGCCGACAGGCTCAGGGGTACGATGACAAGGCCGCTAGACCTTCATGTGAAAACCTGTGTGGTCAGACATTCTCAGTCCCTCTGCATACACACCCGGGACTGGGATTCTGGGACACGTGGTGATTCTACGTTTAATTTTTGGTGAAACGGCAAACCGCATCTACAGCAACAACGTAGGTGCGTTCCAACGTCGCCGCCTTGTCACCAACGCCTGCGTCTGTCCCTCGTTTTTGTGGCAGCCCCCTCGGGGCGTGCGGTGGTGTCTCACGGTGCTGCAGTCCCACAATACAGGGCGTCTCTTCATGTGCTTGTCCCCCGCTCGTGTGTCCTCTTTGGGGACATGTTCTGTTGCGGTCTTGGCCCATCTTTAACTGCATTGTCTTCCTACCGCCGGACTGCGGAGAATTCTCAGATATCCGGGATACCAGCGCCTCCACATCCGACTGGCAAGTATCTTCTCCCGCTCTGCAGGTTGAATTCACTTTCGCGAAATGTGTTCCTTTGAAATATGTACGTGTTTGCTTCTGGTAAAGCCCAGAGTATATACTTATCCTTTTGTGGCTCATGCTTTTGGTGTCACATCTGAAAGTCTCTCGCCAGATCCAAGGCCATAGGTTATATCTCTGTGTTTTCCTCTAACAGTTTTAAGGCTTTGGCTCTTTCAGATTTCTCAAGTCTTTGATACATTTTGAGTTACTTTTCATTTGTGGAGTGAGGGCCGGCTGCGCTCTCCTGCGTGTGTTTGCCCACTCGTCCCAGCACCGTCTGTTGCAAAGACCGTCCTCTCCCCGTTGCACTGTCCTTCCTGCACAGGAAGCCTGCGGGTGCTTGGGCTTGTTTCTGGACTCTCAGTGCTACTCCACTGGTCTCTGCATGCCGGGCCTTCGGACGCCCACTGCCAGCATTCCTGTAGCTTTGCAGCAAGCTCGGGAACTGGAAAGCGTGGGTCCTCCAGTGTTGTTCTCCTTTCTCAAGATGCGTTAGCCTCTTCTGGGTCCCTTACCTCTCCATCTGATTTCAAGATGTTTGTCCGTTTCTGCAAGGAAGCCAGCCGGGATTTTGACAGGGATTTCTGCTGAGTTTGCAGATCAGTTCGGAGAGCGCTGCCGTCTCAACAACATGAAGACTTCTGGTCCGTGAACGCGACATGTGTTTGTACCTACAGGTCCTTTCGCTGTCTTTCAGCAGGTGCATCGCAGCTGTGGTGTGCTCCCTCCTTAGTCACTTTGCAAGGCTGCAGAAGCTTCCCGGAAGTTAGGGCTGAGAACAGGCTGACGGCAAAGCAGCACATCAGGGCGCAGGAGGGGCACGGCGGCACAGGCTGTGAACTCCCTTCTATATTAATACGCATCCCCCACCAGGAGCCAGTCTCTCTTGCCAGCCCGGTCTTAAAAGCATAAATTAGATGGAAGAAGTGCTATACACCTGAGATGTTCTAGAAATCATTTCTAGTCCAACCTGGGTCTTCCAAGATCCACCCAAAAATCTATTCTTCAAAGAAAGAGTCAACAACATTAATAAACCTCTAACCAAGCATATTAGGGGAAAGAGAAAGAAGACAAAGACCGTTGCTATCAAAAATGGAGATGGTATCACCACAGATCCTACAGATGCTAAAAGGGTAATAATGGAACATTAGGAAAAATTCTGTGCTAAAAAAATTTGACAAGATGGATGAAATGGACCAATTCCTTAAAAGACATAAAAGTTCACTATTGTGAGTAAACTGCCAAGGCTCCCTCGAGAAGAAATAGATCATTTGAATAACTGTGTATCAACTAAGGAAACTGAATTTGCAGCAGGGGAAACATTCATACAGAGAAAATTAAAGGCTCAGGTGGTTTCTGTGGTGAGTTTCACCAAATATCTAAAGAGTAAATAATATGGGCACCTGGGTGGCTCAGTGGGTTAAGCCTCTGCCTTCGACTCAGGTCATGATCTCAGGGTCCTGGGTCATGATCTCAGGGTCCTGGGATCGAGCCCCACATCGGGCTCTCTGCTCAGCAGGGAGCCTGCTTCCTCCTCTCTCTCTGCCTGCCTCTCTGCCTACTTGTGATCTCTCTCTCTCAAATAAATAAATAAAATCTTTAAAGAGTAAATAATACCAATTCTATATAAACTCTTCCAGATGATTGAAGAGGATGGAGCCCTTTCTACCTCATTCACTGAAGTCAACATTAACCCAGTACCAAAACCAAAAAATGACATTAAAAGAAAACTATAGGCCAACATTCCCCATAGACAGCAAAAATTCTCAACAAAAGTTTAGGAAAATTAAATCCAACAATACAAAAAAGTATAATACAGGATGACCAAGTAAGGTTTATCTCAGGAATGCAAGTTTGGTTTATGATTCAAAAATCAATCAATGTGGGGAGCCTGGTTGGCTCAGTCAGTAGAGTATGTGACTCTAGATCTTGAGGTTGTGAGTTCAAGTCCCACATTGGGTGTAGAGATTACTTTAAAATAAAAATCTTAAAAAAAAATCAATTTAATTAACAATATTACAGAAATAGACTACAAATTAAAAACAAATGCTCATCTTATTAGATGCAGAAAAAGCACTTGACAAAATCCAATATCCATTCATTATAACTCTTAGGAACCTAGGAATTAAAGGGCACTTACTCAACCTGATAAAGGACGTCTACAGAGACCTGAGCTAACGTCATACTTAGCAGTGACAGACTGAATGCTTTCCGCCTAAATAAGGAAAACACAAAAATGTCCACTGAACCCATTTCTATTCAACATGTGCTAGAGGTTCTAGTCAAAGCAATAAGACAAGAAAAAATAAAAGGAATACAAACTAGAAATGAAAATAGAAACTTGTCTTTATTCCCAAATGACACAGTCATATATCCTAAGGAATCCACAAAAATCTAGAATAAATCTAGAACACATAAATGACTTCAGTAAGGTTGCAAGATACAAGGTCATATTTTGTCAGGGTTCTCCAGAGAAATAGAAACAGAACCAACAGGGTGTGTGTGTGTGTGTGTGTAAGGAATCGGCTCACATGATTATGGAGACTAACAAGTCTCAAGATCTGCAAGGTGAGTCAGCAAGTAGAGATGTGGGCGGACTGAAAATGTTGCTCTAGGCTAACTTTGTAGGTCTGAGAACCAAGAGAACCAAAGGTGTGATTTCAGTCCAGAGTACTGCAGGCTTTCAATTCAAGAAAAAGTGATGTTACAGTTCAAGTCCAAAGTTAGTCAGACAGGAGGAATTCTCTCTTCCTCAGGGTAGAATCAGCCTTTTTGGCCTAGTTGAACTTCAACTGATTAGATGAGGCCCACCTACACTGGGAGGGGAATGTGCTTATTCAGCCTATTGAATTAAATGTTAAACTCATCAAAAATGCTTTCACAGAAACACCCAGAATGTCTGACTAAATATCTGGGTACTTCATGGCCCAGTCAAGTTGACAAATAAAATTAACCACCACAGGAACAGATATACAAAAATCAATTGTGCTATTATATACTAGAAATGAACAATCGGAAATTGATAATGATAAAGGCAATACTATTTCCTATGGCATCAAAAATGTGAAAATACTAAGGGGCCAATTTAACAAAAACGTGCAAGACTAAACTTAGAAAACTATAAACATTGTTGAAATTTTTAGACAAGAGAAACAGAGAGATATACAGTATTCATGGCTCCAAAAGTCCAATATTGTAAAGGTGTCATTTCCCCGAAAATTGACCTAATCCATCTGTAGACGCAAGGCAATCCCAAACTCTCAGCAAATTTCTTGTAAAAACGGACAAGCTGAGGGGCACAGTTTGAGGGTGGCTCAGTCAGCTGGGCACCTGACTCTTGATTTCAGCACGGGTCTGATCTCAGGGTGGTGGGATCGAGCCCCACACTGGCTTCTGCGTGCAGTGGCAAGTCTGCTTGAGTTTTTTCACTCTCCCTCTCCCTCTGCCCCTCCCCACTTCTAAAAGAAAGAAAAAAATCTTAAAGAAAAAAAAGTTGATTCTAAAATTCACGTGGAAATTCAAAGGACCTAAAATAGCCAGAACAACTTCGAAAATGGAAAGCAACGTTGCGGGACGTATACTCCCTGGTGAACAGCCTTACTCTCAAGCTACCATAAGCGAGACAGCATGTAGTGGAATCAACACGGACAGACAGAGTATCACGGAGGATCCAGAAATACACAGACACATACACGGACAGAAATGGGAGGCAATTCAGTGGAGAAAAAAATAATGTTTCCGAACCCTGGGGCCGGAAGAAGCAGCCATCTAACGTGAATCTCATACCATGCACAAAAACTGACTTGAAATTGATCAGAAACCTAAATGTAAAACCTGAACCCATAAAACTTCTAGAAGAACACACAGGAGAGAATCTTTGTGACCTTCAGTGTGACAAAGATTTCTTAAATAGGACAGAAAAAGCCTGAACTCTTTATAAAAGAAAAAAATCAATAAACCAGACTTCATCAAATTAAACAGTTTTGCTCTTCCAAGAACACTTGTGCAAGTGGAAAAGCCACGGACGAGGGGACCGCGTTTGCAAAGCATATGCCCGGAAAAGGACTTGAGCGCAGACTCTATCGAGAGGACGAAGACAGCAACTCAATTTTTTTTAGAGACAAAACATTTTAACGGAAGCAGCCCCAGACCCTGACCTCCCAGCCACTCTCTTCTCCCTCTGCTGGGAAATGGAGACGCTCCAGCCAGCGGGCCACCAGCCCCCTCCCCCACCCCCCACCAGCTGCCTGCCACCACACCCCGGTGCCCACCCCGAGGGGCCAGGGGCCGTACAGTACCGTTAAGATAGTAGCTCCTCCTGGTCCTGTCCCCAGAGGGCAGGCTGCTCTCCGAGAAGCACACTTTCTTGGGCCGGACCATCTCCCTGGGCTCCAGCAGGGTCTTGTCCGCCAGCGGGTCCTGCAAGGGGCTCAGGAGTGGGGACAGTTTCCTGTCAGTGCCTTGAGGCGCACGCAGCTCGGGGGAACTGAGGAACGCCTTGAAGGGCACCTGGCCGGAGGTCGCGCAGCCGGGGGAAGCGTCGTCCTCACTGGAGATGGGGGCGTGTGAGCACAGCAGGTCCTCCAGGGAGGACGTCTGCAGCTGGGAGGGTGCGTCGGGGGCACTGGTGAACCTTCCAAAGTCTGCAACTGGGGTGGGGGGGAGGGGCGGTCAGGCTGTGCTCCTGAAGCATCCCTGAGGGGGGAGAGAATGCGAAGAACTCCTCCGCATGCCCAGCCTCCGGCCACGACACCCCACCCCGTGCCTCAGGGCCCTCCTCCTCCCCCTGGAGAAGATGGCCCTGGGAGGAAGGAAGCCGTGGAGTGTGCGGGCCTGCGTGCGCTTCCTGCCCACCCGTCCATCCACACACCGTCCCGAGGGACTCGGCTCTGCTTTTGAAGCTCGTGTAAGTGGTGCCTGCCGTCCTACACGTGGTTTGTTCTGCCGTGTACACTTCTGCCCCAGCTTTGTGGGAGTTTATCCATGTTGAGTCGCCAGGCAGCTTACTTGATACGTGTAACCGGTTCCTGCCAATGTGTCACACACACACACACACACACACACACAGCAATTTTCACATCTGTTGCTCTGGGGATAGACATGAGGACAGTTCCTGGTTTTCTCGAAAAGCGAAGCTATGATCAGCATCCCCTGATGGCCCCTTTGCTCAGAGAGCACCCTGCGCAGTCTACACTGGGCTCAGGCGTGCCCGACACTTTCTCTGTGTTCTACGTGAGTGGAATGTAGAACACTCCCGCAGCTTCACGGGTCCTAGGTAAGCAAAGACCAGGCTGACGACATCACATGGCTTTTCCCTAATCCCCAGTGGCACTGAGCACCTTGTTGAATGCTTATTAGCCTCTCGGGTTTTCTTGAGGGGAATCCTCTCTGCCTTTTCTCTGCTCCTCTTAGCTTTTTAGGGGGCAGATAGGGCCCTGAGTACTCTTTAATTATTTGTAGCAGCTCTTGTAGCTCCTAGTTGACAAAAAGTGTTGTCAACACCTTCTTCCCTTGGGTGCCCTGCTTATATTTTCATCTGTTTTATACGGACCTGTCGTGCAGAATTTTTTAAATTACAATGTAATCAACTTTATTGATTCTTTTTGTGATTATAAAATCCTTCTCTATTCCCATATGACAAACGTGCTCTCCTAGCAACAAAGCGAATATTTACTTGAAAAACAGTGTTTTAGGTGCTGTGATGAAAAATTATCAGGGTGCCGGCTGGCTCAGGGAGGAGCGTGCAGCCCTTGGTCTCAGGGTTGTTGGGGCGGAGGTTACTTACATGAATAGAACTTCAAAAAAAAAGAAAAACTGTATCTTAAAAACTACCTCCTCAGGAACAACTAATCCACCTCCGGCAATGTCCTCCCAGAAACAAACCTTCGAAAAAAGAACCACCGTCAGGATGTCTTGCCCCCAGTCTGCCCACTTGGCCAAAGTGTTCATTCCCGCGGGCCCGCTGAGGGGCCTCAGGGCATCCTGGCCAGCCCAGAAGCGCCCACCAAGCAGCCTTCAAGAGCTCCCCAAGCGCGAGACAGGAGAGCACCCTGGGCGGCCCCAGAGCCAGGGACTCAGAGCCCTGAGGGCAGGCGGCCTCCCCACACAGGGGAAGGGGCTGCCCGACCTTCCACGGGGCGTGTTCTAAAGGGCCTTCTGCTGTGCTCAGCCGGGCCTAGGCTCTGTTTCATTCCTATTTAGTGAGCGGCCATTCTCTCTGTCACAAGCCTCCAGTAAAGTCGGGTTAATATTAAAAAAACAATTTTTAATCTTCAGTCAAGTCCAAAAAGCAGGCACATTTGCAGGCTACGTTTTAATGAAGCTATAAATGGCTAAGAAGCATGGGCACAAAATTCCGTTTCCTCAGAAGTGAAAGCGTCCCCCCAAGTAATGATTACATCAAGGAAGAAACGAAGAAACCATTACTGAGAAACAATGAAAATCAGAACGCCGTGCATGAAGACATCAGTACACTTAAAACCGTATTTGGACTGAAATTAGGAATGTAAATGCTTTAATTACTTTTAAAAATCATCAAAAACCTTAACATTCAGACCAAGAACAAAGAGGAGCTCCTAAAACAGAAAATCTAGAAGCAGCGGAAGTGAGAGCAGGAGTACCCCGGAGGGAGCTCCACGAAGCGTCCACAAGGCCGCAAAGCTGCGGACAGGGACTTTGCGGAAACAGAAAACAGGGCCATGAAACTGGGGAGGAGAAAAGCGGCTTCAGGAGGGGCAAGAGTCGGCACACCACCACTGGGACCCCAGGAACGGGAGAGCTCTGGTGGGACGGTGCTTCTCAACGACTCAGTAAGAAGCAGAAAATCTAAATGGACCAATAGGCAAAGAAGAAAAATCTAGAAGTTACACAACCATTGTGCTCCGAGGGCACGGGCCTGACGGTGAGATCTTTCAGGTTCCAAGTGACTCTTACTCCCCACACTGCGGGAGCAAGGTCGGCACACTGGAACATGAGCGCGTGCCTGATGGAGGGTATAAACTGGTCGCAGCTCAGGTGCCGAATTCCCACACAGAAAACCAGACAGAAAACCAAAGCCCAGACTCCCTTAGGAGCAGAGTCCCGAGATTCTGAGCGAAGCCCTGTCCCGGCGGGCTCCAGGGCACCGCCTGAGCTCCCGGGCCCAGGCTTCCGGCTGGAGCAGGCCGAGGGCCACAGCCGAGGGCACCCACCACGGCCACACTAGGGTCGGTCTCAATTTTTCTTGCTCTTTAGAAAGGTCTAGAAGCGTCCTCCCAGTGCCCAGCCTGCGAGCCCCCCACCCCCAGGCTCCCCCGCCGGCCGCCGATGCCAGGGTTCTGAGTCCCAAGGGCAAAGACAAAGGCGTAATTAACCAGCACACACCATGACCTCCTCTAAAGTGGTCCTGGGCACACAGTGTGGGCGTAGACTCAGAGCAGAAGAGACGGGAAAACGGAGCGGCGTGCAGGCGGCGGCTGGTGCGGGAGCACAGGTGTGTGGCTGGGGGTCGCGAGGGGCCCTGGCGGTGTCCAGGGTCCGGGGGCTGCAGGCTGGCAGAGCGTGTCCAGCAGCGGCCGCTTCAGCAGTTCAGTAGTCCCCGGCCCCTGACTCAAGGGTTTCCTGCCGTGACCCCAGCGGCAGGTCCGCTGTGCCCTGGCTGTCCTGGTGGGGACCGTGGGGGCATCGAGGTGCGCGCAGCCCAGCCCAGCTCAGGGAAAGCCGGACGAAGCCCGACAGGCACGCGCACTTACCCACCATGCGTTTCAGAGAGAAACCCGGGGAAAGGCCAGCAGTGGCTGCCCGTGGGAATGGGGCAGGACCGGGGGCCGGCCTGGATGCTACAGCCTCCGGGGGTATTCGACCGTTTGCCGCCGGTACGTGTGGTTGAACAGAGACCAGGCTTTCAGAACGCGCCCTGCCTTGAAGGCAGACGCTAAGGGACCGTGAGAGATGAGAGCTGTTGCTGGCAGCGCCCTTCTGCCCTTGAACTCCACTGTCGTGCATGCGTACCTCCAAACTCCAGTCCTCCAGCAGGCTGAGGGCCAGGGCCAGGCCCGGAGGCCGTGTCCCGGAGCCCAGGGCATGGGGTGGCCCCTCCCTGAGGCCAGCGGGGGCCCCCAACCTGGGAAGGCCTAGTGGCCTGAGGATCTCCTGCTAAGACTGGTGTCCTGCAAGGTCTGGGCTTGTCGGGGGGGACTCATGGGCAGGGGTGCCGGCTGCCACCCCAGAGACTCCGCCCCAGTAAGGCCCCGGCCAGGTTCCCCCCCAAGGGACCCGGCCAGAGTCAGAGTCCACACCTCTGCCCACCAAGCGCCCGGGGGGGTAAGGAAAGAGGCCCTGGGGCTCCTGCCGCTGAGGACGCAGGGACGGCTCTGAATCATCAGAGGAGGCCACAGCCTGACCCGATTCTCAGGACAACGCCGCCCAAGGGCATCCCTGGTGGCCCCAGAAGGCAGCACGGACCCCCGTGGTGGGATGTCAAGGCCCTGGGAGGCCAGTCTGCCTCAGCAGGCTTCTGGTGGCAAGCATGTGCCTGGGCTGCTGGTGGGAGCTCAGGACTGGTGGGGACCAGGGGTTTCTCCAGCTGCCCCTCGGGGCATCACTGTCCCCTTCCTGCCACCCCCACCACCTCCGTCCCCCACCGCCACCCTCTGCTTGCCCCGAGTTCTGTCTCTAGGTCCCCCTTGAAGCCGAAGGAGTCCGGGTGCCATGAAGGACCCCGGGGACCTACTGGCTCACGGGGCTTCGCACCCATGCACTCCGTGCAGGGGGCTGGTGGGTGGCAGCCCAATATGGGGACTAACCCCCCACCCCGTTTTCTGGATGCAGACTTCATGGCCAGAAGGGCCTTACCTGAGGACGCGCAGCAGAACGGGGAGCTGGGTCTCGGCTTGCTCAGACCTGAGGGAAGGAAGTGGGCCCGAGACCCCCAGCATCAGCCAGCCAGGCCCTGGCCGCGAGCTGCGGCCTCCCCTCGGCTCCCGGAGCCCAGCAGCCGGCCGGCCCTGCCGCCCTGGCCCGCGGCCTCACCTGCACTCCCGGGGGAGCCGTCCTCGGGGTAGGTGGGCCCCTTGGTGAAGAGGAGGTCCCGGCCCCCGAGGCCGCAGCGGTCGGGGCAGCTCTCGCTGAGAAGACGCTTGAGCATCTGGTTCTCCTTCAGGAGGCGCACCTGCTTCTTCAGGTCCGCGTTCTCGCTCAGGAGCCTGTGCATCAGCTGGCTGCCCTCGGCCATGGCCACGTCCTCGTCCTCGTGCGCTCACATGTGGGCCTGCGGCCCCATGGAGGTGGAAAGCCAGAGCCCACAGGCGCTCCAGAAGCCGCCCGGCCCCGGAGCTCCAAGGCGGCCCGGCCTTCCGCAGCCTTGTGATGTCACCCGCCCTTAAAGAGCCGGTCCCCCACCCCCGCCGGGCCACCCGCTTCCCCCGCAGACCCTGCCCCTGGGGCCAGCGCAGACACACCGGGACGCTCAGCCCGAGACGGGACTGTTCCGGCACCTCTAGGAGCAGCCAGAGGCCTGGGCGGAGGGGCCCGTCGGGCCATCCACTCCACGGGGCGCGGGCCTCAGGGGGCCTCTGCCTTCACCCAGCGTGACTGGTGGCGTCCCTCCCCATGAGCCCTCAGCCCCCAACACGGTTCTCAGGCGGCTCCCCACTCTGCGCCCCAGAACCTGGGCCAGTGCCCGGTGTGCGGGCACGTGTATTGGGGTGCACCTCTGGGACGCACACTTACGGAAGGAGGGGCCGCAGGAGACAAGCTCGGGGGCCCCCAACAGGCCCCAGGCCCCAGGACTCCAGGCCAGCTCTGCAGGGCTGGCAGTTGGAGACCGCCCGCCACCCACACTGCCCTTGTGAGGAAGGCTCCGGACTGGGGCCGAGCAGAGCACTGGCCGTTACTGGACCTAACGGAAGGCTCCCCCGACCAGGCACAAGGGCCACACGGACCCCACGCAGACCCGAGCTCACAGAGCCCCGCCGGGGGCAGATTTCAGGCCCCGGCTGGTGGGAGCACGGCTGAGCCCGCCCCAAGGCCTGGTCTGCCCACAAAGTGCTCGGGAGGGTACGTGAGCTCAGCAGCGTGAGGCCGCGGACATGTCCTCTCCTGCTCCTCCGGACTGGACACAGTCTGACCAAGGAGGCAGCACGCCCTCCAGCCCCCACAGCCCCCACAGCCGCCACAGCCCCCACAGCCCCCACAGCCCCCACAGCCCCCACAGCCCCGACAGCCCC